CAAATAGAAGTGTATCACAGTCATGCCGAACAATGGAATACCATTCATGAAATGTTTCGTAACAATCCGAACTTTCAAGAGCCAACAATCAATCGACCACCAAAAATAAGCAGTTTTGCTCTTATACCATTATGCGACTACCATTTGAAAAACGTGCGATTGGACATTAAGGACTTATATTATAAAATTGTAAACGAGCTTGATTTGGTGCCTTCTTTTCTCAATACGCGGACCAACCGGATGAATAAGAGAAATTTAAAGTACTACACCCAAACTGATCGATCAGGTCTATGGAATATGTTGTTCGATGTCGGTGAAATAAATAAATTGGGCAAATCGAAATCATTCCATCATCAGATTTTGACCGATAGTGTTTCAATATCCATAATGTACAAGAAACCACAGCGACAACAACGACCACAGCGACAACAACGACCACAGCAAACAACCCAAGCGAATCGGGGGCCGGAAAAACTCATTGGCAAGAAATACATCATTGGAATCGATCCGAATGAAAAATCGTGGTTAACTGTAGTGCGTCGCAACATTCAAAAAACCCTGATGAGCCGGCTGTTGAGGTAAGATATTTTGAAATGTAATTTGAAATGGTTTTGAATAGAAACTCATAGTTTTTTGTATCATTTTGAATTTTGAAGGAAAACATTATAATACCAAACCAGCGTTTTCATTGGGAAACTCAGCAGAAAAAACGAGACAAAGAAGCGAAAAAGTTGGCTGGATGGTTTGATATCGAAGAGAAGGAACATCTCAAAACATACCCATATCGTCCACTATCACCACGTAATTCAACATGGAAATCATACATTGAATATCGCATTAAAATGTTACGAAAAGGAATGGCAGCTTATGCGACGCGTGAATATGCACGACTGGATTTAGACCATTACATTCGCTCGACCAGAGTAAATGATCAAATTGCCGTGTGTGTGACAAACAACAAACCGTCGTTGGTTCAATTTGGTGCTTGGGCGATGAAACCCGATCGACCGTTTGGAATAAAAAAGCGTAAAAGATGTCCGGGATCGCGTAAGTTTCGTGTGAGCATTAAGAAACTTGGACATTCAGAAGTTGAAATGCAAGATGAATGGGGAACATCACAAACATGCGCGAATTGTCAGGAACGTTTTCCAAGGCACACAAAAGATGATCGATTTAAAGTGTGCTACGATTGTAGAGCGAAAAAGATTGATGGCCTGCCAGATTCAGTCGCTGGACTGCCAGATATCATTGTGTCAACGGTCAACAGACGTGTTTTGAGAAGAAAACGTGCAATTATTAAGCGACAAATTATCGATGGCAATCGTGAGGCTGTGAACGAAAAACTTCGGACTGGGCGTTTAATGTCAAAGGTTAAAGTTACCTACAAAAATTGGCCATTAAATGTTGATGATGATGATGTTGTTCCACAAACAGTTACTTGGCACCGAGATATTGTTGCAGCAAAATGCATTATGCTCAAAGGTATGAATCAATTGGAATTCATTATTTAATGTATTTGCTTTAAATTACATAGGACTTTGCCGGATCTTTGATGTACCATTGCCAGTTTCATTGTTAAGACCGCCGGACTAAAACAACAATGTCAACTAACAAACATCATCAATTAATCATACATTCAAAAAATTACATAAAATAAAATATTTTAACTATTATAGTTAGCGTAGCTAGACATGAACAGACTATATAAAGTCTTGTGGTCTAGTTGTACAATAGTACAACATTGTACGGAGGGGGAGTGCCCGTAGGTGAGTAAAGTTTTTAATTTAAAAAAAGTATTTTATACCCAGTTCAACTGATACTAATGGTTGTCTTTCCCTTTTTCCATGTTTTCACACCTGAATGTTCCACCATGCCAAACCTATGGAAATGACTGAAACTACACACGAATCTAACATTAATAGGCATAACATGGGACGGTTTTGCAATTTTTTTTGCCTAAATCAAGAGAACATATTACAAAATAAGTTGTTTTAAATCCGAATTACTTTTATCTTTTTTCAATCATTTTGGTATTGATTGAAACCGTTATTACTGCAAAAATTGGTCACAATCAAAGGTGGCGAAGCAAAGAAGAGGAGGAAAAGACAAAAACAACCATATCAGTCACTGTATTAAATGTCCAAAACGAAAATGTGTGTATAATTTCTTACATATCTGACCGTAAATTCAATCTGACTCATCCGCCTTTTGACTGTTTAATTTGTTTATTCAATTCAAGCTGCTTTTTGTTTTAATTTTGCACAATAATTTTGTTTTTTTTTTTTTTGCACACATTTTTCGCCGTATTACGACATTCGAATTATCAGACTTGAAACTTTGTAAACAAAAAACAAAATAATTTGTAGAAATCGAACATGAAATCAAATAAATGAATGAGTTTATTCATTTTTTTGAATTTGTTTTGTTGTCGATCAGTATTGCACTGACGACGCCATCTATGAATGACCTTTGAAATTGCAACGAATCGGGCAACTCGGAATGGAAAAAGAAAATGCCAAAACATAGGTAACCAAAATGCAGCCGTGTTCACCATTTGAACAAACTAAAAAAAGTGTAAATGTGTTACCAGAGCGCGCATTGAAGGAATGCAATAAATTGTCACGAGAGCGCGTTCAATGTACCAACATAAATGGTAATGTGTGTTGGTGTGTTTGTTTTCACCTACAGACCATACTAAAAACGTCGATAGTCACGCAGAAGAAGAGGAGAAAAATACGTTTATGGTGAAACATACACACAACCACATACGCACATATGAACGCGTTGACGAGAGTCAGAATGTACAAAAGCAACAGCAATAACAACAACAAAATAACGAAGAAAAACACACAACATAAACGAACGAGAAGAAACAGGCCGAAAAGTTCTCCATTTTTAGTGGCGTATACGCATACATCAGCATAACTCTCTCGCATGACAAGACGACGGGAGTGAACGCAGAGTGAATAAAAACAACATATTAAACATATTTCATATTTGTATAAATAATTCTTTTTCATCTAAAAAGTGTTTTATTGATTTCAATTCGAATACGAAACAAAGATAACATTAATAAACCGTGCAACTTTTATCACATATCCGTTTGGTATATAGTTTTTCTTTATATTATTTTGTATCAAAAAGAATCTGTTTTTAAAAGCATTTTTTTTTGTGAGTGTGTTTTAATTGCAACGCGAACGGAAAAGGCAAACTTCAGTGGACAAAAAAGTCATTCTTTATTCGTATGTGATTTTGTGTCCGTGTATGTGAACTATAGCTGCTATTTTTTTTTCTTACTATTCATTATTTCATCAGTTCATTCGTCTTGAAAATACGCATACACAAATTTGTATTGATTGAATGAAAAAAAAAAACGTAGCAAAAAAATCAAACACAGGAGGAAGATACCAGTGAGTGTATGGACTAATAATTTTTATGGTTTAAAACAAAAACAACAACAATAAATCTATCTGTTGAATTTCGATAAGTAAACTAAGTCCGAAGATTTTGTGTGTTTCGTTTTAAATTACTCTTCTTTCTAAATACCGAGTTCTTATCTTTTCCTGAATATTTCGGCTTTATTTATGCTGGTCTGCATGAGATTGTTTTAATCGATCGAATTGTTTTTTCTCTCGGTTGGTTGCAAAAATGCAAAAAAAAAAAACATAATCTATTTGATTTAGTGCAATTAAATGAAACTCTTTTCATCAATTCAAATCAGTACAATAAGAGCAAACATAATAAAGAATAGTTTTCGATTCAATAGAAATTAAACAAGTCGTTTTTAATGATTCTTTGTGTGAAAACATTTTTGTGTGTGCAAAATATAACCAGACGATAGAAATGTCAAAACAAGTCTGGAAATTACAAGAAAATAATCGAAAATGCAACAAAAAAGAAGCAACAGAAAAAGAGATATAGAAAGGAGATAAAGAGATATATGGAGAGAGAAATCGGCTATGTAGTGTGAATTGATGTCAACAACAGCAACAACAACAAAAAAATAACCATCTAATGAATCCAAAAAAATTTGTTTATGATTTTATAAAATCGCGTTTGTGTAGAATTTTAAAAGTAAAAAAGAGAAAAGAATCGGAAGACATAACAAAGTGTGCAAAAGGCCAACATTATATGGCTACCAATGAGGTTGGCTGTCATATATACACATACATATCCACGATATGTAGAAACATTTATTGTGCGGCAACCAGTTCGCGCTTTTTAATGAGCGAGAGAAAAAAAAAGAGAGCGCAAAATGTTTAAGTAAGCAAAATACCTGATCTCGGGGCAAGCTGATGAATGAAACTGAAAGGTTCTCTTTCTTCAATTATTATCGAAAACAATGTAATGCAAACAATCTGATTGGTATTTAATCTCCAGTGCGTGCTTGTGTTGATTATTGCAGCTTAAGTGTTCGATTCAGTGTGTACCATGCTATATAGAGATAAATTTTCAAATCGGAAGAGAGTGAACAAAGAGAGAGAGAGAGAGAGAGAGCAAATGTGAGCTCTCAATATATGGTTCGATAGTCTTTGATTATGTTGAAATTCTTAATGGGATCAATTAAAGTTTTCGGTCGCTCATCGCATTCAATCAATTCAATTTATGGACTTTTTTGAGTTGAGATGCTACATTAAATCGAATTATGTTATTCATAAAGTCGATGCCGATATCTCTCGTGCGCGCCCTGTATCTTTGAACAACAGACAAAATACAACATACATTCAGAAAATATACATACATATGTAGTACATTGTTGAAAAAACGCATAAACGAACACCGTAGACATATCATGATTCATTAATATATAAATATATGTATTCGGTTTTGGAAAATTTGTATAAACATGTACACAAGAATGTATACGTTGTTTGGGTTTGGGCATTATCTATGGTATGCATTGCAATCATGGCATATACATTCTTTGTTTTCATATCATATATGCATAACTAGATGAAAAACAATCGAGATTGAAATGCTGTCGAAATGCCTATGGTCGACGCGGGAAAATATGCCAGTGCCCACGACATTTCGACCAACAACAACAAAAAAAATCGGTCTGTGTATAAATAAAAAAATCTACACACGTTCTGTGACCATCAGCGAGATTTTTGTATACGGTTTCCAACGTAGTATTTTGTTTATAAAAGAAGAAAGAAAAAAACATTGCAAGGCAAATCTCCAAACAGTTAGTCATTATATTTAACGTAAATTCAATACGGCGCAAAAAAAAGACTTTCGTCGTCTACCTACACTTTCAGCGTTTGTTGAATGTCAGACAAATTGCAAACATATACAAATCTCAAGAGTATTTTGATTAAAATGTTACAAATTTATGCTGCCCAAGATGCAAATAAATATTGCCATTTTATTCTTCTGTATATGTGTATAGAAATTATGAAAATTCTCTAACTCACTCACCGAAACAAATATCCAAACAACTCGACGAGAGAGCGCCTGAAAATGAGCATTTTCTTAAGTTTGATTGGTAGTTTAACCGAAGCCATTTAAATCGTCGTCGTCGTCGTCGTCATCATCATCATTTTTCATTGTTCTCTTAGAATAAATTGCAAAACATGTATTTTTTTATGTCGTGGTCAATGCGTTATAACGTTTATCTTCTTTGCACGTTAACGATGCAGCTATTTTCAAGTCACAGTTAAGCTAAAATAGTCGCATTTGTGATATTTATCATGCATCTGAGAGCACGCAGTGCTGGTGCTGGTGTTGCTGTTGCTTACGTCTTCCATTGAAAATCATTGCTACAAAACACCACACACCACTCAACAAACGTTTAGATTTTCTTCGTTTATCCCGTTGTTTTCTGCATTTTTGTCTTATTATTATAGTCTAGTGTTTCGTTCAAGTGAGACTGTATGTTTTGTACGAACACATACAAATGAAACAACACATTTGATGCATTTAAGTTAAGAGTCACAAGAACGACCAAAGATACGAATGGTATGCAGCGACGGAATGCATGTATTGGTGGAATAGATAGAGAAAGAGACAGAGATAGAGGACGTGAGCAAAGCGGCTGTTAGTCGTATAAAAGCATGTATTATATTATTATTATCGATACGGCCGCACAGAGAGTAATGCGGTTGGTGTATCTGTGTTCGCATCGCATTTATCGCATTCAACTTAACAATGAAATAATAATAATAATATCAAGTCGAAGATTTGTTTTTGTGTGTGCTCATTTTTTCCATGAATTTGTTTTTATATTTGAACATGAACTTCCACAGAAAGAAAGATACAAAAATGAAAAAACAACAAAATAAATAAATAACTTACCAATTCTATTTTTTTCTTTTGTTTTTACTTCATCTGTTCGTTCTTGTTTATGTTGTAACGAGGTTTCATGCCTCGATTTGGAAAACTCCAAGCCCAAACAATATGTTTTGTTTTTAATTCATTATCAGGCGAGAATATGATTGAGAGATTTCACCGATTCGGTGGTTTTTTTTTAAATATATTTTGGGTTGTTGCTTCTTCTCCGGTGTTCAGCAACGACATCGCATGTATGCTCCGTTATGTCTACGAATTAGACTGCCTCGTCGATGTGCGTATTCACTGATTGTAAATTTGTTTCATTGATTTCTCTGAGCGACGGCGACGACGACGACGATGATGATTATGCTACGACGATAACGATCACCGCCATTCCAATCTACCACGTTTGATGTGCAATGGATACATGTGTGCAAATGCGGTTAATGCTACAAAAGTATATCATTTTTTATATTCATTGATATTGATGTTTTTGCTGCTGTTGCCGTTTATTATCTATATATATATATATATATATATATATATGAACAGTGGTTGAAATACAGTTCGCCTAATTCGCTGTTAGCCGTCCCCTTTACTTTTCATACACTTCGATATTTCGGTGTATAGACATTTGTTGAAATGTGCTGGTAAACAAAACATATATAACGATTGCTATGAAACCATTTGGTTGACGGCGCGTACACACTCACACACATACACGACCAACCGACAAACTAATACGGCAAAAAAGGAAAATGAAAAAAAAAAGATTGTATACAGAAAACACTATCAAAGACTCCCGAAGTTTACGAACGAGAAACTTCATTGACAACAACAGCGGACCAACTCAGCAGTTTAGTTTTAAAGTGAGCGTACGCCAAATAAAGCGTATTTCATTTAAGTTTCACTCATTCACTGTCTATCCATACAATATTTGTTGACGTTTGCTGTCGAAATGTAAATTGCTGTTTGTTTCGTTTTGATAGAATTTCGATTGCGCTTCGATTGTGAATTTGTTTTTAAATTTGCATTGCCATTGCACTTTGCTCCCAGTTCAAATAAAAACGTGTCAATGCATGCAACCGCAAACACATAAATTGATATGTGCCTGGTTGAAACCAGCAAAAGTCATCAAATGTCAGTGATCAGTGATGATAAATAAGGCAAACTTATGATTTTGATGTTGATGATCATGATGAGTTTGAATTTAAATATGATGCCAAAATAGCGAAAAATTAATGAAGTGAGTGTACTGACAAATATGTGTGTAGTGCCATTTGGATTGTGGTGGGTGAGCGCACAACACATTTTTTTTAGAAGCGCGCACAAAAAAGGCATAACATGCTCAAAATGGAAACAGATATTTATATAAAATCTTGGAATAATTTTTGGGTGTACAAACCAAAACGTAAATTGTTTGATTCGTTTGAATGAAGTTCGTAATAATAACAAGCAAACGTTGTTTCGTTCAAACAACGAAAATCGTTCACAGTTCAGAAATGAAAGTAAATGGTGAAGAAGCGCTGAATTTTAAGACGAATGGAAAAATCAAAATGAACGAAAAAGAAAAGTCAACATATCAAATGCAAAAAGTTAACAGTAAAAAAATATATATGAGAAAATGGTTAGCCAGTGATGGCACCAGCACTATTACCGTCCCATCATCAATCCACAATGAACAATAAAAAAAGTTCACAGCTCACACACACGCACACGTACCGATTCCAGTCAAATTCAATTCAATCAAAGTTTTAATGGAAATTGCGTTTTGCGAGCGGTTTTTTTTATCGTACTAGTATATGCGTGTGAGAAAGATTTCATCAATTCGTTGATTCGTTCTTTGCATTGCATCGTAATAATTTGTTAAAACGCGCTAAAATAAAACGCTAAACATTTTAGCCGCTTTTGTCGCACACACACACACCTTCAATGCAGAAACAAAAGGGTGATCTGGTAATTTTCCCAATTCTAGCTGTTTATTGATCTCTCAGATCTTGGTGCAATCACAACACATCACTTTTCCTCTGGTCTCATCGTTCATTGTCGTTGAATAAAGTAGGAAAAAATGAGAGTAGTGTGATAATTGGTTTTGAAAAAAAATGAAAAAATATATATATTATATACACGTCCATGTGAATAC